GTCTGAATTGAGATTTGAACTCAGATCTTCCTGACTCCAGGCCAGGTACTCTATCCCTTCTGTACCACCTAGCTGCCTAGGAATGTCTTTACTGTGATTGAAATCAAAGATGTGGGGGAGTTAGGAGGCGCAGTGGATAGAGCATCAGCCCTGAAGTCAGGAGGACATGAGTTCAGATGCGGCCTTAGACCAAACACTTGACACTTACTAGCTGTGTGACCCTGGACACGTCACTTAACCCCAATTGCCTAAAAATGAAAAAAAAAAATTAAAAAAATCAAAGATGTGGAGAAACTGGATGTTTCTAAAATTTGCTAATATGAAAAAAAAATCCAACTAGTTGAAGACTGGTCACAGCTTGATAACAAGGGTATGTAAAGTAGATTTTTGTTAATAAAAATTCTGCATTTTCATTAAATTCTCATTTGTAGATTATCCAATAAAAATATTGAGGTGTAAAGTACAACTGAAACACTTCTGAAGATTTAGGTGAAAATTTGTAAACCTCTGGAATCCTATAATGAAAACATGACATGAAACTGATATATCAGAAAACAGCTGTTCATGTTATAATTCCCCCCCAAAGTAAAATAAATGTATAGGCTTCTGGCTGTGCAAGCAAAGACGGTCACCTCTTTTTCTCCTTAGTCCGGAGACAATCCCAATATTATAGTTATTATGATTCTCTCTATATTCTTTGTTTTTCAACTTAAAGTGGAGCTCAAGAGATATGTGACTTGTCAGGTCTCCATTCACACTCCTGAACTAATCCGAAAAGTTCCTTAGAAATATACCAAAAAAGGTGACCTTGTGTAAGTCACTTGTCCTCTTTGGACTTCTGTTTCCTCCTTGGTAAAAATGAAGGGTTTGTAGATAATGACTACAACAACAACTTAAATGGAGGGAATGAGCAACAGCAACAAACAAAAAAACAACCCATAACTGAATGTTGAGTAATTATGATGACCAAGAAGCTTAGCCCTAGAGAAGAGGTGAAAAAAGAGTCCTTCCTCCTTTTGGGGGGCTTGGTGGGGGTACTAGGGTGTGGATTATTACGTAGAATGACAGATTTTTTTTTTCAGTGTGTTTGTTTTACTAGACTTTTTTTTTCTTTCTTTTTTTTAAATTATTCATTACAAGAGATGGCTCTCTCGGAGGGAGGGATACATTGAGAAATGAGGTTGATGAAAAAAAGATAAAATTTACTTTTTCAAAAAATGAAGGGGCTGAGGAAAACAGTATAGATGACTACGATATACATGATAAAAACAAAATACTTGGAAACTGTATAAGTATGATGACCAAGTAGTCCAAAAGAAAAATTGAGAAAATGAGTGACTGTGTTGTCGAATGTCATAGCTACTATAAGGTTTGTTTGCTATATTGTTTGGTTTTTCTAAATGATACAGCCTTTTTCCTCTTTGGTTTTTTAAAAATTCTTCATCTCAAGGGATGTCTTCCTGGGTAAGGGTAAGGGATATAGTCAGAAATGAATACAACAGAAAAATAAAATATATTAATTTTTTCAACAAAGGGGCAAGACAAGAATGTTTCAGGTTACTTTGACCATGCTTTTAAAAAACAAAAACAAAAACTCTGGCTCTCCCAGAAACTATGCTGAGGACTACAAGGGAACAAACTCTCTTTCTTAAGAAAACATGCCTGTCTTTTAGTGTGAATTTCCATTCCTTTCCCTCAAACTTTGCCTGTGATTTCTTTAGAAAGGGGAAACTCTCAGTGTGAAAACTGCCTGAAGATAGATATGGTCTAAGATTTTGTCACAGAGAATTGTTTGGGCCCCGGGAGATGAATGGACTTTCCCAAGATCCCACAGCTACTGTTATATCCACTACAGCACTTACCTATCTGTACTGACAATAAAAGAGGAAAATTTTACAGTGACAGGCAGATCCAATTTCTCTTTTGATTTTCCCCTTCCCATCTTACCCCCTACTCTTCCTTTCCATTTCCTCATAGGAACAATGTATTTATTAACCTAGAGGTAATTATAAGTTATTTAGCAAGGGGCAAAAATTATTCTTTTAGAAGGCAAATGCTGAATCCAGAATGGCTTGGGAATGCTCTCTCTTATCACATACCTAGGGCGGCTGGATGGTGCAGTGGCTAGAGTGCCCAGCCAGGAGTTAGGAAGACTTGAGTTCAAATATGGCCTGAAACACTGGCTGTGTGAGCCTGGGCAAGGGTTGTTTGCCTCAGTTTCCTCATCTGTAAAATCAGCTGGAGAATAAAATGGCAAACCACTCCAGTATCTTTGCCAAGAAAACCCTAAATGGGATCAGGAAGAGTTGGGCTTGACTGAAAAACAGTGGACAACAATGCCCTAAGCCCTGAAGTTTATGTAAAGGCAATAGACAATTCCTGCTCTCAAGGAGTTCACTTCATTCAAGATAAGACTGAAAAGATAGGTTAAGGCCAGAGCATTGAAGGAGATTGAATTCTAGGAAGAGGGATTTGAATGTGATATAGTTATAAAGTGACATGATTTAATCTCTCTATCTAGAGAGTTGAGATTAGAGCTCAATTCTTCTCCCTTCTCACTTGAATCTCAAAAGCTAGAATGCTTCCCTTCTTTCCAAGCATAACTCAAATGGAGTCTCCCATGATTTCTTTTCTCCATCTCCCCAGTTTTTAATGTTCTCCCTACTACCCAAATTGCTTTGTATTTACCTTGAATATATTTTTGAATTTACTTAACTGTGTGTACTTTGGGCCAGTAGAATTCAAGCTCTTTGGGGGCAGGGCATGTCTTTGTACCCCACAGTGCTTGGCCTATAATTAGAAGCTCAGTAATTGCTCTTTGGATTGAATAACATTTCATCACCTTATGGGAAGACTGAATCAAAGCTTATGTTAATGCTGGAGAAGGACGTAGTGGTCAGGAAAGCATTTAATTCTACAAACTGGACTCCAAGAGATAAAATTCTGATTGGCAAAGAGCCAAGGTACTCTGAGCGGCGTAAAGGACATTTTGCTTTCTGTCTGTGTGCTTTGACATTTGAGCCATTGATTTCTAAAATTATAGGCCTACCAAAAATTCATCTGTGATAAACTTGTAAAAATGTAGCTCTGGGGGAAGTAAAAACATTTGGAGAAATATGCCTTGTATTTTTTAACAAGTGAGAGATCTGCCTGATCCCTGATTAGGCCTTCAGAGAAAGAGCAGGTTTCTGGCCTTGATCCTTATCCCTGAGGAAGGAACACGTGGTCTGGGGTGTACTGAGAAATTCACTAGGAGCAAAGAAATGGTCCCCATTCCTCCTCCCCTGTAGCAGGGTCTAAGAACACTCCCTGGCAACCCCCACCCACTCGTTTCCTAAATACTGCCAAAAATCCACCTTCCCAGGAGAAATATTTCTTCATTCCATTCTGACTCACAAGAACAGTAGACAATCAAGAATTTCCCCCTCCCCTCTACTCCAGTACGGTATGCAACACTAATATCCCATGGCATGTCTATACATATTTATACATGGTATAGTGAGAATGTTGCTTTTTCACATCATGGAATGGAAAATTTAGTACTAAAATAGACATAAACTGGTTCCTCTGGGTCCCAAAGACTAATAGATTGGATAAATGCTGGACCCAATAGCTTAGACTTGGAATAATGAAGGAAATCCTGGTCTTCAAAAACTCATGAGAATTCCTTCATCCCATATGCTAATTGTCCTTTTGGAGGACCCTAGTCTTCATCCTTTTGACATGTAAATATTCTTCTCCCACTGTTTCCTGAGGTCTAAGCCAATTTCCATAGTACTGAAGAAGCCTGGTGTGTGAAGGACTTCTCTATGGGAGGAATTTACTAGTGTACATTTATTGTGGAGAGAGAGGAAAGAAAATTAAACAAACTGTGACCGTTTTTATATGATCGCTATAGAGAGAAACAAAGCCATTTAGAATCTGAGAAGCTGAGCTATTCATTTTTCCTGCAGATTGTCATTTTGTTAAGTTCTTTAAGAAAATGTTCTTGAATTTAATTTCATATGAGTAATTAAACTGAACAATAAGGTTGATCATCCAAATGGCCCTTTAAGGTTTTCAAAGGGAAGCAGCTAGATGGGGCAGTAGATAGAACTCTGGATCTGGAGTCAGGAAGACCCACGTTCGGATGTGGCCTCAGACACTAGCTGTATGGCCCGGAGCAAGTCACTTAACCTCCATTTGACTCAGTTTCCTCATCTATAAAATGGGGATAATAATAACACCTTCCCAGAGTTGTTGTGATGATAATAATAAGTGAGATAATAATTCTGAAGCGCTTGGCACATAGGAATATTATTATCATTTCCTTCACAGCAGTCTAGAGGTCACTAATACAAATGTATTTTACAGCTGAAGAAACTTAAAGCTCTTAGAAGTTGAATGACTTACCCAAGGTGGAAACGGCTAGTGTGGTGCCAGGATGCACAAGAGAATCATAGATTAGAAGGGGCTTCTAAGGCGAGCTGGTTGAACTCCTTCATGTTATAGATGGGGAAGCTAAGGCTTTAAGTTAAAGTCAAGAAACTTACACAATGGGGCTGCTAGGTGGTGCAGTGGATAGAACTCTGACCTTGGAGTCAGGAGGACCTGAGTTCAAATCCAACCCTAGATACTTGATGCTTACTAGCTGTGTGACCCTGGGCAAGTCACTTAACCCTGATTGCCTTACCAAAAAAAAAAAAAAAGAAACTTGCTGAAGCTCACAGGGTTCAGTCACTTTTGGAACTTGGTTTCCCTGAGTTTCACCCTAGTTCTCTAGCCCTCCCCATCCTATATGATGTTGACAACTGAAAGAGCAGCTGTTGGCTAACAGTTGATTATTATACCAATGTGTATCAGAACAATCAGTATTTATATATATATGGGCTTTCTTCCATTTTCCTTGAGTATCAAGGGTATCTTGTTAGGGAGAAAACCTTATATTACAGCATTTTCACATCTGTGGCCTCAGATGACTCAGTTAATGTTCTTGTTTCTTGATGGGGCTATCCCTTTAGGTGAAGAATGTGTCCATAAATACACAAGAAGTCCCCCCAGCTCCATCTGACTATGTGGATAGAGTTGACAGTCCCATGGCATATTCCTCTTATGGCAGAATGAATGAAAAACGATCATATCAGGACTCTTCATACAAATCAACACCGTAAGTAACCAGCATCCCTCTCACCCATCTTTGGTTCAGTAACTCTTTTGTGCCATATAAATCAACGTGATGTTTTGGTTAGAAATTATTTCTGGTGTGTATAATTGCTGCAAAGACTTTGTACAACTATATGGCACCCATGTTGGCTTTCATGAATGTCGATGTATTTTTTATTGCATGGCATTATGGAATAGAGGAAAGAGCACTTGGAGACAGAAGTCGTGGGTTCAGGTCTCCCACTTGCTGGTCATGTGGCTTCAGAGAAGTCATAGGACGCCATAACGCAAGAGCTAGATCCTCTGACAAACCCTCTCGTTTTACTGATGCATTGAAGTCCAGAGAGGTCACTCAAATAGGAAGTAGCAGAGATAGCATTAGAATCCAGGTACTTTGACACCAAGTCGGCTGTACCAAGCTAAGTCCCTCCTTAAGCCTCAGTTCTTTACTTTGTAAAACAAACATGATAATGTTTATGTTGTTCCCCACCTCACGAAGTTTTTGTGATGATTAGATCGGGTAGTTTCTGTGAAGTCCTTTATAACCATTAAAGCACTAGTTAGCACCATGCTGAGTTATGAATTATGTAGTATTTCTCACTTGTTAGGTTACTTGTAATTGATAAGCTTATTGATTTATATCTTTTACAAGATTTTGAGAAGGAAAGGACTTTCAAGATCATCTATCTTAACACTTTCATTGTACAGATGAAGAAAATGGGATTCAGAAATTTGCCTATTGACTACCCTTCAAAAATACTTTTGAACATAAAATTGACTTAGGAATCATTTGTATCATGTATGTTATATATATGTAAGTAGGTTCTTTTCCATTCTTCCTTTCCTTTGGAACGTCATAGGATTCATAGGATTTAGAGAAGAAGGGACGTCATAATATTGTGGATAAGAAAATTCAAAATACTGAGTTCTGCTTTAGCCCTATTTATTGCATAGGGTTGACACCAAATTTTATGGAATAAGAGACCACTGCCCTGGCAGTCAGAAAAACTGGGTTCAGTTCTGTGTCTGTCTGAACTGTATGTGTGAACCTTGAGCAAGTCACTTGATTTCTTGGACTCATCGGTGAAAATAGAGGTCTCAGTTAGACAATCTTTCATCTCTATTCCAGATCTAAATCTGATGATTCTGTGTTACTCCAATCCATCTGGTCCAAGAACTGTATTTTACCTTGGCCTTTTTTTTTTTTAACCTTTTTTTCATGTAGCACCATAATAAAGTACAAAAGGATACTTGAGAAACTTGCTACCATGTCCATAGGGATGGCAAGATGGTTGATTGCATTTGATTCTTTAGTGTGACTGTCCTTAGCCGCATTTCCTCCTTTCACTTTGGAAAAATCATATTTGACATCTCTTAGTTTGAATTTTCTAGCAGAACTATTGATTAATAAATTTAGAACTGGATAAAGCCTTAGGGTTTGCCTAGTCTAGCACCATCATTTTGCAAATGAAAAAAAAGTGGCATTTGAAAAAGTAAAATTGGCTTTTCCAATGTCACAAATAAATAGCTGGGGCGGGGGTGGGGGGGGAGCTTTGGACCTGGGGCCTCTGGTTCCAGACTCAGGGCTCTTTTTTGATGTGGTGCTGGCTACCCCACATTCAGCATAGAGAGGAGTCATATAAAGGACCATTCTCAGAGCACAGGAGGTACTGAATCCGTTAATCCTATACTGGGCAAGCTGTTTTTAATTATGGGATCCAGTTGGAAATAATGAACTTTATTATAATGAATGGAATGGAATTTGGAAACCAGATAGACCTGCTATTGACCTTACTTAATAATTTTCTATTTGGGTGCTCAGTAGCTACCTCTATATTGATAAAAACTAGGTATATCTTGAAAAAAGGTTTTCCTAGCAAACCATTTTTTAGCCTCACTTCTGGGGTAATTAGTCTTGTTTTTAAAGTTACAAGTTGCCATTTGCATGACTTTCAAGCTTGTGAAACTTGATTTATTTTGCATCATGTGACCATTGTTGTCTCTCAACTCTCCTGTTCAGCTTCATGGGCATTCACTATGCCATTACATTTCAAGATTTTAAAGGGATGACAGGCATTTATTGAGTGCTACTGTGTTCCAGGCACTGTGCTAAGTATTGGAAATTCAAAGACAAAAAAACTATGCCCCTAAAGTGATTTCTATCAAGCAAGGCAATATAGAGCTAAATAATTATGTTCAGCATACACACACACACAGATGCACGCACACAAACACATGCTCCCAATACGTATTATATATACACACGTGTGTGTGTATATATGTGTGTATATGTGTGTGTGTTAGCATGCATATTAACAACACACGAGCTGTTGTGTATATATTATGTATAGTATGGGTATATTATTAAGGTTCTATCTGCCAGGCTTACAAAAAGAGGCAAAAGACAGTCCTTGCCCTCAAGGAGCTCACATGTAACATCTACTTTACAAATAGTACCTCTTTCGTCCTCAGAACAACCGTGTGAGGTAGGTACTGTTAAATTCATTTTATCGTTGGAGAAAGTGAGGCAAACAGAGGTTAAGTGACTTGGCTAGGGTCACATTGCTTGTGACTATCTGAGACTGGATTTGAACTCAGGTCTTCCTGACTCTAGACCCAGCGCTGTATCCATTGTGTCACATAGCTGCCTCTTGGGAAGGTTACCAGGTAAGGTTTTGTGTTAGGAGGTGGGTATCTAGTCTGTGTAAAGTATTGTGCTAATCTTGGAGGGGGATACAGAGGTGAAGAACACATTGCCTCTCCCCTCAGGGATCTTCTAGTCTAGTAACAGAGCTAATAGGAGGCAATATGTGATAAGGACCCTAACAGAGGCACAAAGTGCTCGGAGGATTCAGAGGAGGAAGTGATATCAGATTGGGGGAATTACTGGATCTTTATGAAATCATAGGATCAAAGATTGAAATCTGGAAGGAGCCTCAAAGGCCCCGTCATCCATCTCTCTTATTTTACAGATGAGGAAACTGAGACCCATGGAGGTTAAATGAAACTCCTGTGGGAACAGGTAGCTAGCATTAGGAGCAGGATTTGCACCCAGGCCCCCTGACTACAGAACCAGTATCCTTTTCACTGTACAGTGCTGCCTGTTTCATTTCTTCTGGTATTAGGTAACAATAACACTTCTAGTCCTGTATATCCAGGTACGTAGAATCAGAGAAATTTAGAATTGGACAGCTATGTGAGGTTCATCTGGCCTAGTCTTCCCATTTTACAAATGGGGAAACTGAGTCCCCAAGAAGACAAGTGACCAGTCCATGGTTATTTTTTGTTGTTCTTGTTGTTTAGTCATTTCAGTTATGTCCGTTTCTTTGTGACCCCATTTAGGGTTTCCTTGGCAAAGATACTGGAGTGGTTTGCTACTCATTTTACAGATGAAGAAACTAGGGCAAACATTATTAAGTGACTTGTCCAGAGTCACACAGTCCACAGTTATAACTCTTGTTAATGTTAGAAGCAGGACTGGGAGTCACTCTGTTCAAGGTCTGCCAAGATTAGTAGACAGGAGGATACTTGGCTGAAGATGACTCCTCCACCTTTGCTAAGTGGGTCTAGGAGTATGTTAAATAGGTCTCTCTTCCAATTATTTCTCCCACACCCAGTTTTGGAAAATGTAAATGGTGCTGAGCTGCTCTGTAAAATTTCCATGGTAGCAGACTACTGGTAGTGCCTAGACTCTTTCTCCTAGATGTTTATGAGAGGTGAGGATGTGAACGATGGTATTGCCTTGCAGCTTTGGAAAGCTGATGTGGCAAATGTGAAATTCTATAGTGAGGGACCATCTGACTGGTCTTCATGAATGCAGTCTTGTCCTTTTCCAATCTGTCCTTCCTAATAAATGTCCTGCTGTCATCATGGCTCTCACTGCTTTGGTCATGTCTCAAAAACCTTTATTGGATTTCCATTACTTACAAATATAGTCAAACATCCTTATCCTGGCATTCAAGGCTCACCATAGATTGACTTCAACCCACCTTTTCAGCCTTCTCATATTTCCCATCTTCATGTATTCTCTTCTACCAAACTAGATCTGTACAATGGGGACAATATTACTTATAATATCCACTTTACAAGGCTTCTGTCATAATTAATGTTGCAAAGATTTTATATATATTATAACCAGACTGTGAAGGGCTTTGAGTGCCAAAAGTGGAATGGTTCCACTTCCCATTTAATCAGCATCTATCCCCTTATATCTATCTTTAAAAAGGAGGTGAGGAGTTCCCCTCTTTATCAAACCTCTTCTGGAAAATGTGAGTGTTTATGACAGAAGATCTGCTAAAATATACCAAGAAAGTTAGAAAATATGGTGGTTTGTAAGATTGGGTTTACTGAAAGAGAATTAACTTCAGTTTATTTTTTTTTAAATTGATAGTGGTGGTGATATCATCTAGCAAATTAAGAAAGTTTCTTTTTTTTAGTCAGTTAACAATCATTTGAGTAATATGACATCGATGGTCTTGTTCAGGAACACCTAGGTTCAAATCCTACTCACAAACTTTTACTAACTGTGTGACACTGGGCAAGTCATAACCTCCCTGAGCCTCAGTTTCACCATCTATAAAATGGGCATAATTCCTCCCAGAATTATAAGGATCAAGTACAATAATACAAATAAAGTGCATTGTAAGTGCCAGTTATTGCTTTTTACCATGAGCCTCTCGGCTATTCAGTGACACAGCTTTAACTCAAATGTGATGATACTGATAATCTTTGTACAAGGAAAAATGGGTATGAACCCAACGCTTATTCTAGAAATAAGTGTCTCGGAGGGACAAAAAAAAAAGTGTGGTGGTATTTAAAAGATGTGGGAAAGAATTCAGAGGGAAAAAGTCCAGGCTGAAATTGAATGTTAAACTTGTTGCTGCTGTTTGTTCTTGAAAACGACTGTGACTTCAGGGAGGTGATGCCATGACATGCAAGTGAAGTGGATTTTAAGTGAGGGAGGGCCGTGCAGAGTCACCAGCCTCACTTTCTCCTCCAGAGCCATCTGGGTCTAGTCACACGACATAGATTAAAACAACTGGAAATGGCCAGCTTTAACCCCAAATCACTCAGAGTATTAAATAGCTTAAGCTATAATACCAGGGAGTTTTGATTTCGTGAACTTTCCAAGAAACTTGTAAATAGAATTCTAGCAAGACTGGGTGATTGATTCTGTTCCTTTTCTGTTGCTTTTTCCCTGAAAACCAAAGCCTATTTTGAAGGTTTTATGTTGTCATTCTTGCTGTGTCCAAAGCAAGAGCCTAGGCATATCATGTTACCCTAACACAGTTTTGGACAGAGCATCTGGAAAGTTTGTTTTCTAATGACTCATGGGACAAAACCTGACCAGCAATTAAAATGTGCAGGAATTCGGTTGTGGAGCAAGCTTAAGGAGGTTTTCAAGCTTGGTGACAAACTAGAATGGAGGGAAACTGCCAAATCATGTCCATTCCCAACCCAAACACACCCAGAAACCCATCCTTTTTAAAAGCCTAGTTCAAAACTTCCTTTGCCTATTAAATAAGATCTTGAAGTGAGGTGGGGAGCGGTGGAGGGGAAGATAAAGTTTTCTTTTGTTGATCACAGTAGGAACATTCATCCAAATGCATTTATTGAAGTCTACTCTATGTAGAACTCTGGGGAGAGAGATGAAACAGGTAATGCTTATAGATCATCTGCTTCATTTCCTTCTTTCTTTTTTTTATTTATTTAGATGTTTAATTTTTATTTGTTTTATTTATTTAAAAAAAGTTTAAAGTTAAAAAAACCCTTTTGGGTTTTTTAATCTCACCTTTACTGAATGGCATTTCTGATATCCCCAATATAAATCATTTTCTTAAGTAAATTTGATTATCCATATAGTCTCAACAGGCAGCTAGGTGGCAAAGTGGATAGATTGCCTGGCTTGGAGTCAGGAAGATGCATCTTCCTGAGTTCAGATCTGGACTCAGACACTAACTAGCTGTGTGACCCTGGGGGAGTTACTTAACTCTGTTTAGCTCAATTTCCTCCAGCGTAAAATGAGTTGGAAGAGGAAATGGCAAAACAAGAAAACCCCAAAAGGGGTCATGAAGAGTCGGACACAACTGAAAAACAATTCACTGAATAGTTTCAACAAACTTAAAAAAAAAGACATAATAAAAATATAAAATGTAGATTCATTCTCTTTGACTTTTTTATGGAAGAACATCCATACTTTGAAGAATCTGTGATTTCATAGGTGAGGATGGCTCTCCACTGAGGCTGGTCATAACTCCTGGAAGGTCTCCATCAGTTGCTTTAGTTGGGAAAAAAAATTGATATCCTGGTGGCCAACCTCCTGGGGGATGAGCCTTACTGAATTTCCTAGGGCTGGTCTTCCTTCCTGACGGAATAGCCTTTGGAAAGCTGGGGCCTCTTCAACCCTATGATGATGTGCCTGAAGGAGGGACTTCTTTGGAGGAAGCTGAATAACCCTATGTGGAAGAATATAAAACCTTTTTTGAAATAACAGAAAACTAAAATTAGAACTTTTTTGGTTATTGAGAGTGCTTTAGAGGTTTTTTGGTGGGGTTTTTTTGTTTGTTTGTTTGTTTTGGTAAACAGTATTTTATTTCCAATTACATGTAAAGATAGTTTTCAACATTTGTTTATAAGATTTTAAGTTTCAAATTTCTTATCCTTCCTTCCCATCCCCCCTCTCCAAGACAGCACGCTATTTGATATAGGTTATACATGTGCAATCATGTAAACACATTTCCACATTAGTTATGTTGTAAAAGAAGAATCAGAACAAAAGGGAAAAGCCACCAAAAAAAAAAGTGAAAATAATATGCTTTGATCTGCATTCAGTCTCTATAGTTTTTTCTCTGGATGTCATTTTCTATCATGAGTCTTTTGGAATTGTCTTAGGTCATTATCTTATTGAGAAGAGCTAAGTCTTATCATGGTTGATCATCACATAATGTTGCGGTTACTATGTACAATGTTCTCTGGTTCTGCTCACTTCATTCAGTATCAGTTCATGTACGTCTTTCCAGGTTTTTCTGAAATCTGCCTGGTCATCATGTCTTATAGAACAGTAGTATTCCATTACATTCATATACCACAACTTGTTCAGCCATTCCCCAATTGATGGACATTCCCTCAGTCTCCAATTCTTTGTCACCACAAAAAAGAACTGCTATAAATATTTTTGTACATATAAGTGCTTTTCCCTTTTTTTATGATCTCTGGGATATAGACCTAGTAGTGGTATTGCTGGATCAAAGAGTATGCACAGTTTCATTGCCCTTTGAGCATAGTTCCAAATTGCTCTCCAGAATTGTTGGATCAGTTCACAACTCTACCAGCGATGCATCAGTGTTCCCAATTTTCCCACATCTTCTCCAACATTTATCATTTTCCTGTTTTGTCATGTTAGCCAATCTGATAGGTGTGATGTGGTACCTCAGAGCTGTTTTGATTTGCATTTCTCTAATCAGTAGTGACTTAGAACATTTTTTCATGTGATATAGATAGCTTTAATTTCTTCCTCTGAAAACTGCCTGTTCATCTTCTCTGGCCATTTATAAATTGGGGAATGACTTGTATTCTTCTAAATTTGACTCAGTTCTCTATATATTCAAGAAGTGAGACCTTTATCAGAAATACTTTCTGCAAAAATTGTTTCTCATCTGTCTGCTTTCCTTCTAATCTTGATTGCATTGTTTTTGTTTGTGCAAAAACTTTTTCTTTAATATGATAAAAATTATGCATTTTGCATTTTATAATGTTCTCAATCTCGTTTGGTCATAAATTCTTCCCTTCTCCATAGATCTGACAAGGTAAACTGTTCCTTGCTCTCCTGATTTGCTTATGGTATCACCCTTTGATGTACCCATTTTGACCTTAATATATGGTGTGAGATGTTGGTTTATGCCTAATTTCTGCCATACTGTTTTCCAGTTTTCCTAGCTGTTTTTGTCAAATAGTGAGTTCCTTTCCCAGAAGCTGGGGTCTTTGGGTTTATCCAAGAGTAAATTACAAGAACCATTGTTAAAGTATAAGTTAAATAGTTATAAAGTTAAATAAATAAATAAAGTTATACGAGTTAAATAATCACTTGTTAAAGTAATGAGATTTAAGGAAACTTTGATTAAAATGTAAATTTGCCCCTGAGCAATGTTTTGTTTCCTTTGACCACATCCTGAGCTTTCTCTGAATTGAAAGCCAATAGCTGAAAAGCCACCTGTTAACTTGCCCTTTGTTGGCCCTTTTTAAATTTCCCTTTCCCTCCTTCTGCATTCTTAAATTCTCTATTACCTTTTCCCAACTCAACTCCAGACTTGCATTTATATTTAGGAGCCTCCTTTTAGTATTTTCTCGTAAGTCTGCATTTTGAAGTAATTTTACTTCCTCAGTTGGGGGTCGTGGTGGTGGTGAGTTGGTGGTGGGGAACCAAATACTTTTGAAATAGTAAGCAGTGCCATTGGAAAAAGTATATGTTGTTCCCCTTTCATTCTTTCTAAATACATGACCAGAAGTTTGAAAGGATCTTTAGTAATTATCTTTAGTTATGCTCTAAAGCTTAATCACTTCCAGATTTAAAGATTTTACCTTGGGTTGTGAATAATTATACTTTTCCATTTAATCCAAAGAAATTTTATATGAATTTTTAATTTTTTTTTTTAATTTTTAGGCAATTGGGGTTAAGTGACTTGCCCAGGGTCACACAGCTAGTAAGTGTCAAGTGTTGTTTGGTCTGAGGCTGGATTTGAACTCATGTCCTCCTGCCTTCAGGGTCGGTGCTCTATCCAGTGCACCACCTGGCTGTCCCCAAAATTTTATATGAATTTTTAAACATCCAGTGGTGGATATATGTACATATTCTCCTTCCCTACTTTGGTTTGTTTGTTTGTTTGTCTGTTTTTTTAATAATTCCATGGAACTTTAAAAACCTGTAGAATAGAAAAGTCTAAGATTTCCCCCAACTGGACTGATGTAGTGTAAATTACTGACATATATCCTTTCATGTGAAACTAAATTTTTCTAAGATTAAATGCCCTTATTTTATTTAGAAAGACTGAAGAGAGGCTCCTTTTAAATCAGGACCTAAAAACTATTACATGCATCACAAAATCCTAAGGGTTACAAAATTGGGCATACCGAACTCCAGGGATCTGTTCAGTGGACTGTGCATAAGTTTCTTGACTGAGTGAGCACACAGGGAGCACACAGTATTTTGGAGGTCTCTTGGCAATTTATTCTTGGCTGCTATTTGGATTGTGGGGGAGGCTGGGGCTTGAATAGTATTGCATTTGTTGAGAAGATCATTCATTCTGTATAGTGTTCCTGGTTTTGGCTTATAAATTGACCACTGATGTATGATGATGCTGTTTTCCTCTAGGATACCAGAAGTTGTTAAGGTTCTTCCAGTGACTTCATCTGTGGATGATTTCAGGCAACCTCGGTACAGTAGCAGTGGTAACTTAGTATCTACAACGAAACCTCATGGGAAAGGAAGGAAATCAAAAAGGGCTGACCAAGACCACTATGAAACCGACTATACCACTGGAGGGGAATCGTGTGAAGAACTGGATGAGGACTGGGACAGGTACAGATATAGCATTTGTAGAACACAGGCTGTCCAAAACAATGCTGGAACTTCTTGCTATTAGCTAAATAGCACCCTGGGTTCTTTCACTTTGAGACAATGTGTTGGGAGAAATTTAATAATTAGTTGCCTGCTTTGAGTTTTTCCAGGGTAACCTTCCAAATGTTGATTAAGGCAGTACTTAAATGGTTTCTGAAAATCTTCCCACATTCAAATGGGAAGTACCACTGAGCCAAGATCACTGGTGTTTTCCTATGCACTTGGAAGCTTTGGGAGAAGCTTCTGGAGAACCTGTTTAGCTGATGCCATTCAGACCTGGACAAATTACTTAACCTCACAGTGCCACAAGGAACTTCTTAAGACCAATGATGTTTGTTAGTATAGAGAATTTCCTCACCAGAAGTTCTTTACAGCAAGAAAATCACAGGTCTGGGCCCCCCACCCCAAAACAAACATTCGTTAAGCATAGACAAACAGGAAACAAATTGTACAAATGTAAGAGTTCATGTGAAAAAAAGATCCATGGATGTAGTTTTTAATTTCTAGGTTATTTTAGGAAAGTTGTTTCATCTCATTGTGGCACAGCTTCCTTGTTTGTAAAATGACAGATTTGGGGAAAAAAATAAAAAATAAAATGATAGGTTTGGATTAGATAATCTCTTTTTAAAAAATAGCATTTCATATTTTGCATGACTACATATGTATGACCTATATCAAATTGCTTGCCTTCTCAATGGGGGAGGGCTGGGGGAGAGAATAAAGAAAATTTGGAACTCAGAAATGTAAAAACAAATGTTGAAAAAATTTTTACATGTAACTGGGGGAAAAGAAAATACTAAACAAAAAATTTTGAGTTCCAAATTTTCTTTCTCTTCTTCTTCCTCTCTAAGTTGGTAAGCATTTTCATATAGGTTACATATATTCAGTCATATGAAATATATTTCCATGTTGGACTAGATAATCCCTTAAGAACTCTCTATCTGCAATCCTATAATGCTCTTTTTAACCACTCGTACTCAGTTATCAAGTTTAATTTGAAGTCTTGGATGTCTTAAGCTTTTTAAATATGTAAAACTGTATAGGTAAATGTTTAATATCTGAGCATATAAACATCCACCAAATAATTTGCAAGATAAGTTATCTTTGAATACTTTTCTCTGAATGAAGGAAAGCAAAAGCAACTTTTCCCCCAAATAATTCATGAATCCCATGGCAAGATAATTTGTACTTATCCAGCCTTCTCTCTCTCGTAAGGTGTGGGGTAGCTAGGTGGTACAGTGGATAGAGCACTGGCTCTAGAGACAGGAGGACCTGAGTTCAAATGTAGTCTTAGACACTTACTAGCCTTGGGCAAGTCACTTAACCCCAATTGCTTTAAAAAAAAAAGAAGAAGAAGAAAAGAAGAAAAAGAAAAAAGGTCAAGCAGCAGAGTAGCATACACATATCTACATACCACATAATACACACATATGTGGCTGTTCTAACAAAGACATTTCTTTCTCTCCTAATGTGTAATTCCAGGTCTTCAACTGACTTCTTAATCTTTGTCCATCAAGAACATTAACTTGCTGGTTGTCTCATAAGCATCTTAAACTCACCATGTCCTAAATACAACTCATTATCTTTCTCTCTAAATCCATGCCCCCCTCCTCACTTCTTTATTTTTTCTTTCTTTTTAAAAATATTTTATTTTTCCCCAATTACATGTAAAAACAATTTTTAATATTTTTTTTTAGTTCTAAATTCTATCCCTTTCTCCTTCTCCCCACTCCCTGAGATGCTAAACAGAATGAATAGGTTATACATGTGCAATCATGCAAAACGTTTCCTTATTAGTTATTTTGTGGAAGAAAATGAAAGAAAGGAAAGAAGCATGCATGCATGCTTTCATCTGTAGTTAGATGCCATCTGTTCTTTCTCTGGAGGCAGATCCTATTTTTCATCATGAGTCCTTTGGGATTGTCTTGGATCTTTCTCTATTTTTTCAAGGGGCAACATCATTCTTCTAGTCACCTAGGTTTGAAAGGTGGGAATGAATCATCCTTGCCTTCATTTACCTACCCCGAACATCTGGTCAATCAAGAGATCATCCCATCTCTTCAACTTCTCTCTCTCTTTTGTTCTCTTCTAACAAGTCTCCCTCAACACAACTTCTCTCCTCAGCAGTCCATCCTCCATATAGTTGCCAAATTGATATTCCTTAAGCTAAGCTATGTGACCTTGTTACTCTTTCTAAGGAAACTTCAAATATCCTCCATTTGGCCTTGAGGTTAAACTCCTGGGTTTTCAAAGCCCTTCACGTTCTGGCTCCCGTCCTCTCTCTTTCCATAGTGATTACCGATGGTGATTATTCTGCTTGGAACATACTTAAGTTTCGAGCAAAACAGTCTACTTTTTGTTCTTCAAGTTCTCCATAGAAGATATTCCATCTCCCACTTCATGCTGACGGCTTTTGAAATCTTTAACTCCCTTCAAGGCTAAGCTCAAATGCTAACACCTTCATGTAGTCTTCCCTGATTTAGTACATATCCCCTCCCCTATATTTTTTTATATCTCCATTATTTACTTACCTGTGAACATGTTGTATTCTCTAGTAGAATGTAAGCTCCTTGAGGGCAGGCAGCCTCACTTTTTTATTTGTAGTCCCAGTGCTGCCTAGCACAGTTAGTGGCACCTAATAGGCTTTTAATGCCTAAATTTACTATTATGTACTTAAGTGCTTTTTGTTTGCTTGTCCCTTATTGAGTTTGAATATTCCACCTGAGTCTAGGATGTGATGCTTTCTTTGTAGTAAGGTTGTAATCCTGGGTTCTCAAAGGCTTTGCCAGCATAGCACATTTGATCTGCCCTTAGAAACTGAAAAAGCTTCTAGTACAGAGTTGATGACAACTTCTAAGTCTGTCATCACAAGAATATAAGAGCTTACAAGCAAAAATTGATGGCCCTAAGTTTGGAGAAGCCCATAACCAGTCTGGCTACAGAGTGGTAAATTTTGGGTCCATAAACAGCATTAGAAATAACATCTTGAAGATTATATGATAGGTTATAGAGGAATTATGATGTATCCCTGTTGATAAAATCACAGCTCTTGAAGCATTGAAGTAAGCATTTAAGTAAGAAAAGACATACATGTAAGGCCTTCCCAGCTGCCTGCCACTAGAGCCTAAGTAGAGCAGATGCTACTAGACTGAAATATCTCTGAGTTGACCCATGGATTAAGTGTATGGCAGTTAGCCAAGTTCAGAGTGGCTTGTCACCAGGCTGACCACAGGGTGAAAAATTATTCAGCTAGAAACTCTTGAAGATCATCTGTTAAACTGTAGGGAATGAGGGAAGGAAAAAGCTTCTATATAATGCCTACTATGTGCTAGGCACTGTGCTAAGTGCTTTTTACAAATGCTATTTCATTTGATACTAACAACAGCTCTACAAGTACTATTATTATCCCCATTTTGTTGAGAAAACTGAGGCAAACTGAGATTAAGTGACTTGCTCAGGGTTACACAGCTAGTAAGTGTTTAAGGCCAGATTTAAATTCAAGTCTTCCCAACTCCAGACCCAGAATTATATTCATTGCTCCACCAATTGCATTTAGACAAGTTATGGAGAGGTTGCAGTAGCTAGAGGTAGAAGAGGAAACTTACACTGGTCCTTCTTATATTGAGGAAAGGTTACATAATCTTGAGGGTCCAGCAAATTCCTTTAATTTAACTTATGGGTAGCTATAGATGGAAGAACCAATAAGGAACCCATTCTTCATAACTATACCTCAACTTAATGTTCTTTGGGCACCCAGGTGGTCAAGTGGATAGATCACTGGGCTTGGAATCAGGAAGACTTAATCTTCCTGACTTCAAATCCTGCCTCAGACACTTATTAGCTGTGTGACACTGGGCACGTCACTTAATCCTGTTTGCCTCAGTTTCCTTATCTGTAAAATGTTCTGGAGAAGGAAATGGCAAACCACTCCAGTATCTTTGCCAAGAAAACCCCAAATGGGATCACAAAGAATTGGACACAACTGAAAAATGACTGAACAGCAACAAAAATAGATAACAATTTTCTCACCTTCATATTTAGAGAGTACCCACCAATAACTTCAGATCAGCAGAGACAACTTTATAAGAAAAACTTTGACACTGGCCTACAGGAATACAAGAGCCTACAAGCAGAAATTGATGAAATCAACAAACAGCTGTCCCGCTTGGATAAAGAACTAGATGATTATCAAGAAGAAAGTGAGGAATACATGGTAAGTTTCCGGAGAATAAAAACCCCTTCACAACAACCAGGGGAAACAAAGACTGGTTTGATAAGGAACAGAATAAATTCTGATTGAGTTGTATGATATCAGTAACATTTATCTTCATGTCGTAGAAAAACCACTATTGATCTTGTATTCATCCAGTCTAAAACTTTGGGAACCTTTATTTTACCTTGACAAGCAGTCTGAGCATTGGATTTGGAAAAACTGATGATTCTATTTAAAAATAGAGTCATACTGTAGACTGGTATTAACATAAGTCTTTAATATAGACACCACTTCCTAGCCTCATATGAAGTCATTCTAAAATGTAAAAGGGGCTGTTGGAATTAATAAAGGGAGCAGAAATTTGTCTATTTGTATCATTTTAGCTTCTCTTTGCCTGTATGGATGACATCTATGAAATGTCATTAAATAATATGGTCCTGCCTTTTTTTTTTCTTTTAAACATAATTCAGGGTTTTAAGCCTCAGAGTAAATTAGAGGGCTTGAGGATAATTATAATTATGCTTAAGATAAATGCCACAATAAACATGCATTTGCCTGTGTGTCTCCTTAATAGGCTGCTGCTGATGAATATAATCGACTAAAGGAAGTGAAAGCAGTAAGTGTTATCGGTTCCAAAATTCCTTAATTTCTCTGTGATCTGTTCTTTTCAAAAATTCAATGGAGTGAACATTTATGAAGTGTCTTATCATGTTCAAAGCACTGTCAGATCTTGAGGATGATACACAAGATAAATTGTATAGCATCCCAGTCCTCAAGCAGCTTGTAATTTAGTAGGAACGATTTTTTTTTTTAATGTGCATATTAGCAATAGCATATGGTAAACCCTTTTTCTGATGACTGTGCAGTGGAATGTAAGATTTGGAAGCTTCTTCAGAACTGGGGCGAAAGCTTCAAGTAGAGGGTGAGGGTCAGTCTTCTCAGAACTAGTCTATGTCATTTTGGAAAAGCTTATAATAATATTAGTCGTACAGTATTGCTGTTACTGTATACAGTGTTCTTCTGGTTCTGTTCATTTCATCTTGCATCAGTTCATATGAGTTTTTCCAGGTTTTTCTGAGACTAGATGTTATTTTACCATTTTCTCCATTATTTTGGATTTCTGCACCTTCTTTCCCATTTATATTCTGCCCTTTCCAGCTCAAAGACCATTCCCTGTGGAAGCAAAAACATAGGCAAAAGTTAATTGAGAGTTGAGCTTCCTCTTTTTTTTTTTAAATTTAATTAAATTTAATTTTTTAAAAAATTTTATTTTGGAGGGCAGCTAGATGGCGCAGTGGATAGAGCACTGGCCCTGGATTCAGGAGTACCTGAGTTCAAATCCGGCCTCAGATACATAACACTTACTTACTAGCTGTGTGGCCCTGGGCAAGTCACTTAACACCATTGCCTAACCCCCCCCCCCCCCCAAAAAAAATTATTTTGGAGGCAGTGGAGGTTAAGTGACTTGGCCAGGGTCACACAGCTAGCTAGTAAGTGTCTGAGGCTGGATTTGAACTTAGGGCCAGTGCTCCATCCACTGTGCCACCTAGCTTCCCCTGATTCTTAATATGTATATTTTTTAACCCATTTGCATGAGAAACAGCATGGCATAGTAGATAGATCTCTGGACTTGGAGTTAAGAAGTCTTGGGACTGAATCTAGTATCACACATTTACCAGTTGTGTGTTCCTTGAGAAGTCATTACCTTTTCTGAAACTCAATTTCCTCATCTGTAAAGTGGTGATAATATCTTTAGCACTTACATCATAGAATGGATATGAAGTCCAATGAGTTGTCATATAAGACTCGACCGAGTTCTTTGAGCAATTTTTTCCCTTTCTTTCTTTTGATTATATTTGTTAGATTCTAGCAAATATGGCATATTGACCCGTTAAATATGTTCCATCCCTTTTAAGAATCCACTATTCACAAACTGTGGTGCAGAAATCCAAATCCTATGGCTCCAAATCTCAGGCACTATCTTTTTACTCAACAGTTGACTTCTGAAATCTGCTCATCTTTGAATTCCTTACCTTCAGTAAACAGTAGTGATGAAATTTTACCCACCTTGTCCCCTTTTCAAAGATGTTCATTTTTATTTCCCATGACTTTCAAATCTTTAGAAACACATTCTAGGTTCTTTTGGCTAGTTTCGTTTGTTCTCAAATCATCAGAGGTGGTTGTCATCATTAACAGTTTTTGGCAGTGTAGATGACCAAGAAAGACAAAAGACAACAGACATCTTATTCCTGATTGTCAATTATAACTCCAGATATTCATTGTTCCCCCTTCCCTTCTTTCTCTGTCTTTTATTTTTTCTTTTTGGTGAGGCATTTGGGGTTAAGTGACTTGCCCAGGGTCACACAGTGGGCACATTTTAACTCAGGGCCTCCTGACTCCAAGGGTGGAGCTCTGCCCACTATGCCACCTAGCTGCCCCACTGTCTCATTTTTCTAATGTCTACCCTTCTATGAAAATGAGACTCCCCCCCTTTATGTATAAATCTTTTTTTTCCCCTTTTGTTTTCTGCCTAAAACACTTATGTTGTTGTTTTTTTTTTTCTCCAAGCAACACTTTGTTGTCTCTGATACCCTGGAGAGTAAAACTGTATCCCTCCAGCCCTTTTTACTCTTTCCTTTCAGGCAGAGGCCCACTTGAACTTTGTACATGTGAAAATGTTATGTATTGCTGGCAGGATACAATTTGCAGGTCTCAGTAAAATTATCCTTGCCCTTGAAATTTCAAGAAGAAAGTTCCATAGTCCTTTGTTATCTTTCTGGTAGCTCTTGGTTAATGTCTGTGATTGGTCAGATTTCCTATTTGTGAGATGTGAAACTCAAGGTGAGAATATTATGAAATGTATCAACCTCATTTCATCTTGCCACTTACCCTCAGAAGCTCCCTTCACTTCTCTAAATGCTGGGTTCTCTGCTCCTGCTTTGAGAAGCAAGCTTATTTTATTTAGGACATAAGGTAAGACATAAGGACATAACTAAAATTCATTTATCTAATGAAATCTACTGACTCATTTCACCTTGCTGATGCTCTCCTGAACCTTTCCTCTACTTGATGAGACATTAGGCTTATCTAGTGAAAAGGCAGTTTTGGAAGGCTTTAGGGTTTTATCTTTTCCTTGTCCCCTTCGCCCACTCCCCATTGTACTTGATGTCCTTGCTTGTCACAACTTGTGCTTTTGCTGATTGTTGTGATTTGGATAGTGGGTTGGTTGGAGGGGAGAACAAATATACACACAGTTCTATCAAAACTCTGTCAAAAAGTTTTCATTGGAAATTCTCCCATAGTAGTGATTCCAAACATACTGGCCACTTACTGGCTGCTCCATATTAGTTTCTAAGGTATATATATATATATATATATATATTGCAGGGAAGGGTGGGGGGGATAGGCAATGGGTTTAAGTGACTTGCCCAGGGTCACACAGCTAGTAAGTGTCAAGTTAAGTGTCTGAGGCTTGATTTCAACTCGGGTCCTACTGACTCCAGGGCCAGTGCTCTATCCACTGCGCCACCTATCTGCCCCCCTGAGAAATTCTTTAAGATTTTATAGGGAGGGGGGAGGTATGAGAGGGAATAGTTATTTTGTGTGACAGGTATTAAACTTTTGTTGTTTTGTTTTATTACCAGGATAATTCCCCTTTAAGCCACACTCCTACTGAATTCTTCATTATAATAAAGAAAAAAATTTGAGCAAAGCAAATTAGTTGATAGATTTCAGCAGCCCTACCCTGATAATATAGCATCCACAGTCTCTATCTTTATAGTTGAGGGGTGAAAGGAGAGTTCCTTACTTCTCTAGAATGGAGATAATTAACAGTTATCTTTAGTTAAAATTTCCATGTTAGAATTGACAGATTCTTACTTACTAGAACACTTAAGGTGTTTTTGCCTCTCTTTTTTTTTTTTAAAAGTTTTTCAGTGTTTAAAATAAAAGAGAAAATGTATAATCTTATTTGCCCATTAGAGCTACTTATCTTATAATGTTGTGGGATCTGTAAAAAGAGAACTTACAGAAAATATTAGGATAATTTTTCTCTAATTCTTTTTTTTTTTTTTTTAGTCTGCAGATTATAAGAATAAGAAGAAATATTGCAAGCAGCTGAAAAGCAAATTGTCTCATATCAAAAAGATGGTTGCGGATTATGATAGACAAAAAACATAAAGTCAGTGACCAGAAGGTTTGAGAAACTGTGGAGTATATCCTTACCTTCTCCGCAAATGACTTAACCAATGTTATCTGAAGACAAAATATCTCTAGAGTGTAATCAATGAGAAGATCTCTCTTTGTGACCTTTATAAAGTTTTGGTAGCTAAAGCTAATTCAATAGCATCAGTGTTGATACCTTTTGTAATGCTTTTTGGTAACTCACCTGTACATTTTGACATTAATAGTTTTAGTCTTTTAAATCTGGGTACTAGTCTTAAGGACCAAATGTGTGTTGAAGATTTAAGCCTTAATGACTACTTCAGATGTCACCAGTGCTATGACTTACACTCCAGTCTCCTTTGTCTTCTCAGCTGAACATGTAACCTCATTAAAAAGCTCTCTCCTCAATAGTGTTGCTACTGTTCTAGCTCACAGTTGAGGTGACCTCCATACAAAGACTCTGAATATATTAAAAATGCCTTAAATATATTCGTGTCTACTATGTATGCTGCATTCTAAACCCCAGCCCCATTGATTTCTTCTTAATGGCTTGAAAATTATTTGTAATAATAGTGAACTGTTTTCCTCAGCTGATGCTATGTAACCAAAATTATGCAAAAATACCATGCTTATGAAATTTTAAAAGTGTATATATTTTACTTTTTTAATCAGGGCATTTAGACTCATGATGATGTAGGTTAGAATATTTGTTGTGTATTTTTGAATGACTGTCATTCACCTGTTATGGTTTATGTGTTTTGTTTTTTTTAACCAAGCAAATGGTCTGTATAATAAAACAAATTACTTTTGTAATACAGTTATAACTTGAACTATATCTTACTGGAACTTTTCAGCCCTTTATATAGTTTTATTGATGAGTCAACCTGGTTAATTAACAATACACACCCTTTTTTGATATTATGTGACTGCTGATACCATGTGGAAAAGCCTTACACATTGAATGGTAGTAATTCTGGTGGTAGCAGTATGAAAAGGTCTATTCACACTATGTTGGTTGTTGATTATGCTGATTGTTAGGTTGCTGAGTTTTTGGATATAGACCACAGATTTATGTGAAAACTGAAGATAACATGGCAGTTCATGTAATAGAGATTTCCAGTGGTATCATTAAGTCTAAGTGTGTTCCATTTGTTAAGTTATGAGTAGTCAAATAAATTTAGCTTAACTGGTGCTGACTGCTGTTCATCTTACCATTGTTTAGAAATTTTTTTATTAAGAAAAAAAAGCCTATGGTGTGCTTTTATAAAACTATCCTAGGACTGTTAAGTATTCAGCTTTAATCTTTAGTGCATTCAAGACACTTAGCAAATATGACTTACTAACGATAATGAAGTATCATTTCCAAAAACGTGAGTCATTGGTAAAAGGATAAATGTATCCTGTTATATTGGTTATTGAATTAATTTCTTCAAATTGAAGAAATTTATATTTTTCTGAATGCTATATACATGAAAAAGTATAGTCCATTAACCTCAAAGAACAGTATATTCATCCTTAAACTTTCACTAATTAAAAGGTATTACTGTATTGGATATCAGATTGAGTTTTACTTCTTGAATTCATTTTTACTTTTTTTATGGGTTTTTCAAAAATAATATACTTGTTTGACATCATGTGGTATAATACATACGGAGTTTTGAAAGTGGATTTTCTTAGTCCTATAATTAGTTTTATTTTTGTTATTTAGTCTTTTTCACTTATGTCTAACTAACTCTTTGTGAGCCCCCCTCCTTTTTTTTTTCTTTTTTCTTTTTTTTTTTTTGAAGTGGGCTTGGCAAAAATAGTGGAGTGGTTTGCCATTTTCTTCTTCAGCTCATTTACAGATGAGGAAACTTAAGTAAACAGGATTAAGTGATTTGTTCAGGGTCACACAGCTAGTAAGTATCTGAGGCCAGATTTAAACCCAGGAAAATGAGTTTTCCTGACTCTAAGCCAGGTACTCCATCCACCATGCCACCTAGCTGCCCCTACATAGTAATTATAAAGATAAAACAATACTCAAATGAAGATATGAGAAGGCACCCCCAATCTACCCACCTTCATGAAAGTGGGTGGGTGGGGGGGTCTGCAGGTTTTATATTTTGAATATATTTTCAGAGTTTTCAACATATTGATCAGTTGTGCTTTTTCCCCCTCTAAAAAATACAATTTGTCATAAATTAAATATTTCCCAATTATTTTTAAATCTAGTTCAGAATCACTCTAGTGTGTTGCAGCCTCGTATTTGCAACTTTACACTATTATAGTCATTGTGTATATGTGTAAAATTTTCCTGGTTCTCATTCATAGAAGTCTTCGCATGACTCTGAATTCTTTACATTTGTCATTTCTGATAGTACACCAATGTAGCATTACTTTCCTATACCACAGTTATATACCTGTATATACCTGTAGTCTATCCACTGTTCCACTTAGCTACCCCCTCAACAAACCTAGTTAACATTTGAACGGTTTGATGATATGTGGAAGGCTCCTCCTCCTCAGTTCAAATCCAGCCTCAGATAACTAGCTGTGTGACTCTAGGAAAGTCACGTTTGCCTCAGTTTCGTCCTCTATAAAATGAGCTGGAGAAGAAGAGGGCAAACCACTCCCAGTATCTTTGCTAAGAAAACCCCTAATGTGGTCAAGAAAAGTGGATACACCTGAACAATAACTAAAGTTTCCCTGAGTTGCCTTTTTCTGTTTGTTAGAAGAAATGGCTTGCTGTTTAGGTGGGGAGAGCAGTTTTTGGAAATGTAAAACGAAAAGATAATCAAGAGTGTGTTTTTTTAAAAGATTTTATTATTTAGGGGAATAATATTAACTATTGGGGAATGGTTCTTGGTATTTTATTGTCATTTCCCTAAATATCTTGGATATCACATTCATTAAAAATATTTTATATGAAGACTTTCCCCCCCAATTCATCAATTTATTTTCTTGTTATCTTATTTGTATAAAAACTTTTAGTTTTATGGAGTCAAAATTGCCTTTTTTTCTTTTATACTCTCAGTTAGCAGTTTTACCCATTAGCCATAGTTGTGAAAGCTACTTCCTTTCAAATACATACAACCCAAGTTAGAATTACTTCTGCAAATGACTGTAGCATCAGTGTGCTAACCCTCATCATTTCAAACTAGGAGTTCTATTTAGAATATAAATCAATTGCACAAAATGATATTTTACAATATTACTTGTATGTTTTGGTTTATTTCACTTTTTGTTAACTAAGCTAGTCCAACATAACAAGGATAGGGCCAACAAAACAATGAACTCTTTTGATTATTTGAACTTAGGATCAGACTAATCCAGAATTACAGATGATGATCTTTTTACTTGGGGATGAATTTTTTTAATTTCTATTTAAATAAACTTACACCCAACACTTCAGAGAAAACAATGCAGCCACACTTGAAATAAGGAGTGAGTTCCTTATAAAGGAAAGATTTCTTATGGAAGCTTCCTGCTGAAATTCTTTCCTGAATGCTTCTCTGTTCTTGGAGAGAGAGGTATCATCCTTGACCCATGCAAAGCGTTACCTGACCTAAACTTTCATCTAGAAGGCTTCTGTTCAGTTAAGTCATAGCATCTCAAAACTGGACTGACCCTGGGATCCAGCACTCCTAGAATGGACAATGTTCATTTCCCACTTGGGAGTCAGGAGACTAATCCTGCTAATCTCGCTGCCTGGTACTGCCACTAAATAGCACATTTTAATCTCAAATGAGTCTTCATACCCCCCTGGCCTTGTTGCTGTCTCATCCTGGAAATTCATTCTATCAATACCTGGGGCCTCCTTACCCTGAAACATCCTACCATCCCTGGGGTCTGCTCATCCTGGAAGGTCCCTCTGCGAGGTATGCACCTCTTCGTCCCAGTGGCAGGTTCCTCCTAGAGCTCTGTTTTGTGAAGAGGCTCAGACCAGACTCCTCATTCCCTTCCTGGCCTTGACTCTGAATTGATGGGTTTCAAAACCTAAACTCTACTGTTGTCTTATCTTCAACTTTTTTCGGCACCTGGGGCCTCCTGGCCCACACACATCTAACCACTTTTACAGAGTATTTACCCTGGAATAACCCTCTGCAAAGCCCACCCCCATTCTACCATATGTGAATTCCTCTTGTAGCTTGTGGCCAGCTGACCTTTTACCTCCTCGTTCCGTTCCTCATTTCATTTCTAACCCCTTTTGTATGTTGTTTTTTTCCATTAGAATGCAAACTCCTTCAGGGCAGGAGTCTTTTTTGCTTGTATTTGTATTCTCAGCCCTTAGCACTGTGTTAACCCTAAATTCATAGTAAGCACTATAATGTTGCCTTTCTTTTCTTCCTCACAATAGCCATGTAGAACTGTCTCAATTTTACAGATGAGGAAACCAGCCCAGAGCATCTTTGGCTATTTTGAGAGAGTTCAGGACCAGAACAAGAAACTTGATAGTTCTATAGTACTCTTCCCCATAGATTACATTTGGAGAACATCTGGAGCACCTCATTTTGAGAGGGACATGTGGCCCCAAGAGAGCAACTACAATGGTGAAGGTATCAGAGACCACGGGTCTTATGAGAATTGTGTGAGAAATGAATATTTCTCTCATATTTAACAACTAATTATTGTATTAGGACCTAGGTTTTTCCCCATTGCTACTTCCTTGTCCAGAAATCAACCTGTTCAGGATCTAGTCAGAGAGTAACAGAAATTCTAAGTATGGGCTAATGGATGTGTTCCTGCTCATTGTGTTGCTCAGGTCCCTGGAAAATGTTGATTCTCCCCATTATCAAGATAGGTGATAGGAAAATTGAGGACCACAATTTGAGTGACTCGAGTCACGGATCCCAAGGTAGCCTACCTCTCATTTGATTAACCAATCTGAGTTAAGTAGGCACCCCTGTTGGAACGGGAACACTTCCTCTTGGAAGGTCATATATAAACTGCGACTCCACCGCTATTAGTGGTCTTTGGTCTGAGAGAGACCATCCTTTTATTAATAATCTGCTGGCAGGGGCAGCTCGGTGGTGCAGTGGATAGAGCACCGCCCCTGGAGTCAGGAGGACTTGAGTTCAAATTTGGTCTCAGACCAGACACTTGATACTTACTAGCAAGTCACTTAACCCCAATAGCCTTGCAAAAAAACCCCAAAAAAACCAACAAACAAAAATAATCTGCTGGCCTTATTAATAAAATGATTAACTATCCCAGAAATTATGTCTCTCGAACCTTTTTAAACATCACAGCTAGATGAAGGAGCAAAGATGAAAAAGACAAAGTACAGTCAGGCTCCAGTAATTGTCTTCATAGGTGAAGGGCCATCATGTAGAAAGGGATTATACTTGTTCTTTTTGGCCTTGGGAGGCAGAATAAAGAACAGTGTGTGGAAGTTTCAGAAAGAAAGGTTAGGTTTGCTGAAAGGATTTCAGGATCGGGAGGAAAGAAAACTCCATCAGAAATCATCTAGCAGGGGCAGCTAGGTGGCACAGTGGATAGAGCACCGGCCCTGAAGTCAGGAGGATCTGAGTTCAGATCTGGCCTCAGACCAAACACTTGACACTTACTAGCTGTGTGACCCAGGGCAAGTCACTTAACCCCAGTTGCCTAAAACAAAAACAAAAACAAAAACAAAAAAAAGAAATCATCTAGCAAATGCCATGCATTTTACTAATAAAATGAAATCCCAAAGAGGTTAAATCTCTTGCCAAAGGTCATTCAAGTGGAAGAGACAGGAATCCTAACCTAGGTCTTTCACTTAAAATCCAGTAATTTTTCATTATTATTGCTCTATCCTTAGTAACATGGAATGTACAAAGGTACGATTCCCCTTCATTGGAGTCTTCAGGCAGAGACTGGATGACTGTCACCTGTTGACCATATTGTAGAAATGTTTTTTTGTCAAGTACAGGTTGGACTTAGAAGTTTTTTGAGGTTAGTTCTTACTCTGAAATCCCCTAACCTCAAAGGCTGTCTAATTCAACTGATCTCCAAGAAGTAACCCTCACTACATACCATCATGAGTACTCTTTTCCAGCTATTTTCCCCACAATCTATCAATATAGAATGATTTCTTAAGTTATTTTTGTTAATTTTGTTGTATATATAATATTTTGCATTTGATAATTTCAACAGATTTTTATTAAGCACTGATTATGTACAGGGTTTTGGGGAACAGTATTTCCCTACTTCAAGAAACAATGTAATAGAGG